ATCAAGAACTGGAACGAGCTTAAATGTAGCTCGATAGTGCAGCATTTATATATATATATATATATATATATATATATATATATATATATATATATATATATATATATATATACTACCATAAATGCCTTCATCACAATAGTTAGGGAGGAAGTAGATGCGATAGGCAATAATTAACTAGAGAAGAACTCAAAATTGATCGCTGCATTTAAGTATTACATTAATATTTAAGTTTACTTTTTAAAAGTTCAACGATAATTCTTCTGCCGCCACTTAATTTAAAGACAGTTTGATGTACGTAGGTCATTACTTCTCGTACAAACAACAATTACTTTTATTTCATGGGTGACTTCTGCTGGATCTCGCAATTAATTTTTATCATTACCAAATTTATTTCCAAGTTATGAAAATTATTATAAAAATTGTTATCGTACAAAAAATTTGTTGCAAAAAAAAAAAAAAAAAAAAAAAAGATATAAAAAATATCTCAGAAAACAATTTCAGTAATGAAAATTTGGGAATCCAAAATTTCAGGGCTGTGCACACGGATTCGGCGCGGAAGGTTTTTAATTTGCTCACGGAGTCGTCCTGATTCCAAAATGGTATATGGTCGACTACGACCTCTAGGAATATAGTTGAAAACAAGGACAATTTTATTTTGAAACACTGTAATTTGAAAACAGTATTTTTTTTTTCATTTGAAGATAAGAAAGAGTGTTGTGTCCCTTTGAGTTGAAAAATTGTGACAGTAACATTTGCATTTATTATATATAGGAGTTATCATAAAATCCATGGGGCATATTCTTACATTGAATACTTTCAATTTCAATGGAGAACACTACCTGCAAATAAGAGGCTGTGCCATGTGCACTATTGCAGTTCCATCAAATGCTACAATCTTCATGGGAAAATTTAAGGCGACCCACATCTATCCCTTCATCGGTAGCGATTGCCTATTCTACGCAAGATATACCGACGATATCTTCTTTGTATACACAGACAGTGAGGATAAAACTTACTCAATTTCTCATGACCCTGAACACGGTACACGAGTCAATTAAGTTCCACAAGATCGGTAACATCTGTAGACAGCCGCATTTACATAGAGAAAAGCAGAAAAATACAAATGACACTACACACGAAAATCACCGACACCCATAACTATCTACACTTTAAGTCTTTCCACCTTAAACACCTCAAGTAGAACATTCCTTATTCACAAGCACTTAGACTCAGAAGGATATGTTCCAACAATGAAGAACTAAATAGACACATTGAAAATCTGGAGCACCAATTCACAACACGTGGCTATAAACAACACCTAATCAGAGAACAAATAAATAAAGCAATTTCCACACCTAGAGAAGATACCCTAATGTAAAAATAAATCCGGCCGCATTCCTCTAGTAACGACTTTCAACACCACTCTTCCTCCTCTATCGCAGATAATCAAAAGTCACTGGGAAATACTACATCTCAAACCAGACCTAGAAATTTTGTTTGAGGAACCCGGCCTTCTAGCATATCATAGACCTAAGAATCTTAAGGAAATTCTAGGTAGTAACCACATTTCAGAGAATAAGGTAATCCGTAACAGACCACAAATAAAAACATCAGGATTTCCTCAACCATGTAACAACAAAAGGAGCTTATGCTGTAACCACATTAGACACAGCAATTCGTTCACTAGCTCAGTCATTAAATCATTAAAACTACTTTCAAAATCTACCAGGATTCCATCTGTAGAAGTCATAACATAATTTCCTATAGAATACACACTATGCCAGAAACAATACGTGGGAAAACCTGAATGTCCATTTTACTACAGAATTAATAATTATCGTAATCGAATTAAATCGGCTCCCCACGAAAGAACAACATTTACGCCTAGATAAACATGATTTTAAAACCCATGCCAAATTTACTATAATTGAAAAAAAATTGAAAATGACAAAAAAGATTAACATTAGAAACATTCTAGAAAACCATGAAGACAAATGTTTTTATGCCTCAAAACACTTTATCCAGACGGGCTTAATCACAAATGTAACAACATAGATAGTATTAATATATAACCCCTTAAATCAAGCCTTACCCACATTCCTGACCCACACAAGATAGATATACTTGCGGAGGTGTTGAGGTCTCACATTTATACACACACCCATACTAATATATACACTTACACACATCATACACACTCCCGAAGGTTTAAATGATAACATACAATTAACACAGACACATACCCTTCCCAGGAACCAATAAAACTGTCAAAATGACCATGGGAATTCAGAGTTGTATGAATCTCTACAGCCTCTATCTTAAAACAACTTGAAAGAGGCCGTTTGAACAACACAAGGACTGACCAAAATTAACGATTAAAAAGACTACAGGTAAAGTTTATTTTCTTCGGAAAGTCATTCATTCCTGTAGTTCACTACTACTAACAAGCAGAATTTTTTTCCTGATGATGGCCATGCTTGCCGAAACTAGTCGAGGAACCTAACTGAAATAATAAAACTAAAAAAATATTAATATACAACAACCCAGTGTATCTGAAAATTTTAATTTTTTCAATATTTTTTATTGTTCAAAACATTTATATATATTTTTACGACATTTTTATGTTTATACATTCTTTTAATAGATACAAATATTTAAGTAAATTCTCTGTTTATAATAAACAACATTTACCGGACTGAATGTTCTAGAAATTTCCGACAGGATTCGAACCTGTATCTTATATGGAACTGTCATTTAGTTTGACGTGCCTTAACGGATTTGGCCACAGAGGAGCGTTCGGCTAGTAATGTCGAATTTACTGTATTTGAACTTCAATCTTTTATGATTCTCTCACGTACATTCATATCTGCTCATGGCGTATCAAATGTAAACAAATGACGCCACACATTATGAAATAGACAAAGTCCGACAATTATTTTTAAGACATTTCTATGTTTATACATTCTTTTGATAGATACAAATATTTAAGTAAATGCTCTGTTTTATAATAAACAGTATTAAACAACATTTACTGGCCTGAATGTCCAAGAAATTTTCACAGAAAATTATAAACAGAGCATTTACTTAAATATTTGTATCTATAAAAAGAATGTATAAATATACAAATGTCTTAAAAATAATTGTCGGACTTTGTCCATCTCATAATGTGTGATATATATATATATATATATATATATATATATATATATATATATATATAAGTGAACATTGAAATCAACACAGAGGCGAGAGATTGTTTCAAGCCGCCCAGCATGAAACAGCCTGTCGCCTCTGAGTGTTGAATCTTCATTTTATATTTTACATACGCTCTATCTCTGATATTAAGTACTTTATCCCATAAACATACCACATCCTAAAACTATATTTCTTCGGATATATATATATATATATATATATATATATATATATATATATATATATATATATATATATATATTGACCCAGGACAGCATTACTTTGATCTAGGACGGTGTGTTGTGGCTTTACTAACAAATTCGAGAATTATTTTCTCATCAGAATGAGTTTTTCAAGCTGCTGTACCTTCTGAATTACCATTAGACTCATCCAACTCTTCCCAAAAATCCTCTGCACTCTCCTCAAATTGACGCCCAAACACTCTGAAATGTTCGTATTGAAGTTTCCGACGTGAATGCCAAGCAGTACAGTACCTTCAGAGATACATACATACATAAATATATATATATATATATATATATA